CCGGAGACCACCTCCATAACTTCGTTCAGAGAATCGTTTGGCAGATTTTGAATGCAGATTTGAAATCAGCATCAAAAAATACGTCTAGCAGTATAGGTCTCATTTCAAATGGCCACTTCGACTTGGGATCCTTCCCTTGTTAGCCAGGTCTGCCATCGACCAGACTTCTACGCGAAGTCAAATGCACGGCATATTCCGGAACGCCAACTTGGCGGACCGTTTCGGCAGAAGTTTTGGTCTGTCAAGGCATTAAAGTTCTTGTGGAGCTATAGTTTTTTCTATATTTTCCTGCTCACTAAAGGCCCTCTCCATCAAAAGGAGACAACAAAACCGATGATGCTTCACTCAGCACATAACAAGCTTTGCTAGGAATTTACAGCCCGCTTAGTGTAGCCTACTGGATCCGCTTTAAAAACGGTACCCTCTGGAAATACAGATTTACCCAAATGATGTTTCAATTTACAGTAAGATTCAAGAAAGTCCATGCAGTTACCGTAAAATTCCTGTAAAACTGAATTGAATTGGTTCCTCCACAACAGACTTCAATTATGAGGTCATAATTGCCTTGAGATGTTAAAGCAACCATATTGTCGAGTCCAAGCCAGAAGTTATTTCCTTTTCCAGGCTAAATCAAAGTTTTGACTGAGGAACAGGAATATAAATAGAAAGGAAAAATAGCCGAAGAATTTGAAGACTAAATAGTGTCTCACAATTCCAAATGGCTGCTTATAGCCATCGACTGTACGGTCGAAGTCTGTATCGTCGTTGGACCCTCGGCTAGAAATAGAAGTGATTAGAAGAATATAAATGAACTACCGTTTACATAGCAACTTCCTTTATTGACTTTACAAACAATTAATTACAAAGTGGATTGGTTGTAAGTCATTTCACAACCAATTTATTGACCCAGAGCGTTTGACAGGAGGACAAACTGGCATTAGACGAACATTTACTCACCTTTGGATTACTGTGTAAGCTCCGGAAGTACCGTATTGACAGTACACATCAATAGGGTTGTTATTGATATAAATAGTTTTGACTTGATCCGTTCGGTTCGCGAATTCATCACACGTCTTCGGAAAAGGTACATCTCCTGAATGGCAAATTATTCCCTTAATAGTTTCAATGAAGAAAGCGAGTTTTTTTTTTCAAACCCTGGGGAGTTGTCGTCGTAGGAACTGTAGTCGTTGTGACAGTTGTAGGAGGAGGTGTTGGTGGAAGAACTTCATTTGTCTTCCAAGCAACTGTTAGCCTGATAAACNACATCTCCTGAATGGCAAATTATTCCCTTGATAGCTTCAATGAAGAAAGCGAGTTTTTTTTTCAAACCCTGGGGAGTTGTCGTCGTAGGAACTGTAGTCGTTGTGACAGTTGTAGGAGGAGGTGTTGGTGGAAGAACTTCATTTGTCTTCCAAGCAACTGTTAGCCTGATAAATGCATGTCTTATACAAGCACTCAAAGAATTACGGTATTTGGGAATTCAAAAAATGTCAACGAATGTAGGGTTCTTCCCAAGTTTTCAATTCGAATTCGCAAGGAAGCTTGAGAAAAAGCTTATTGAGATTTCTCAGAATAGTCCCTAATGATTCTCAGAAGTACCTCCCGAACATTGACCATGTGGAAATCGTATATCGAATAGCGCCCATATTTGTTCAGTCAGTGAGCCTTACTGTACATATAGAAGACTACCAATGAATCAATATCAGTCAAAGCTCACGATGTTCCCAAAAGTCCCTCACGGTGACTCGTATATGTGAAAATATCTTGAAGTTGTGAGGCATTAGCAAAGCTTGCTGTCCATTCATCGATTGGTTCACCACTCATTTCAGTCAAAGTGACGTGAAGCCGGAATCCCTGAAACGTTGCCGCTGGTCCTGCACAGAATGTATGGAAAGAGGTTGCTTCCATTGCTTGCAGCGACCAGCAATGAGTTCAAGTTTTCATGAGTCCACCTAAAAGTACTAAACCAGTACCCACCTGATAGTAAATGTTGTCTAGCGGGATCACCAACGGGTTCGTCCATTCTCCATAAGTACCGACTAAGAAATCCATCTTGTTGGAGTCAGCAGTTACTTGTCCAAGCGAGTAACAAGTATTATGATTAGTAGAATTGCCATCGAGTGATTCAGTCAATGAAACATCATCAGGGGGAGCACTGAAAAGATTGAATGGATTTTTTATTGGCATATATGGGATACGCCGTGCATGCCACGTCGAGCTTGTTTCGCTGGGACGAACGAAATCTTCATTGTTCTGGTTTCACAACTTTACAGACTTGGTTCCAGTCTCGAGCAACGTTTTGAGCCCAAATTCAGTAGCTGATAGGATCTACTGTCCGGGAATTGCACAAATGATTACTTTTCCTCAGTCAACATCTTATCCCGCTTTCATCTTCTCCTAAAAGAGCTCGGTCAAGCTGGTAGATAGGACTCAGCTTACATTACCCCTAGATGCTCAAAGGAAGAATTGAGTGAGACTGTAGAGGATTCGCTATGTATAGAATGAACCTCTTAGAGTAGCCATACCGTTCCACCAGGAATATTCGCCGCAGGAAGCTTGACCCTACGTTCAGGGCAATTGAATTCCAGCACCTCTTAAACATTTTTGGAGTGCTGTATGAATCGCTATCTTCCATTGTCAGTCGGAACATCGCTGCTAATATGGATCTTTTATGACAAATTGCTCATCTCCGACTTCTATAGAGGACGAGCCTTTCTTGAAGGGAGCCACGGTCGCATACGTGGTGAAGAAGCTGCTTCAGCTTCTTCGCTATGTGCTTATCTATTCAATCAGCGGCTTTAAATTAGAAAAACACCCCACTACCGTATTCTCGTTATTTCAGATAATAGCTTACATCTAGTTGTCCCACCTTGCATACAGTGATGGATAAGTAAATGATTAAAGTTCATATGATTAGTTGGAAGCGAGGGGTTTAAGACTCAATGGGAAAATTGCCCCATAGTGGTGTATGAGGGTCACTTAGGAAAAAGGGCAGTATAAGGAGGGGTAATTTATTACCCAGTACCATCAGTGAGGTGTTGATCTCCTGCCCCCTCCCCTGCCCTTCCTAAGCCCTACCCCGCCCTTTTACTCCCAAATACTATGGCTCTCACTGTATCTGAAGCGTAATAGGAAGGTGAGAGCAATGACTATTTATGCTTGCTACAATTCCGCGCGGAAGGATAATTTCTAACACGGATTTCATCCACATTTCTACCAGGGATATTCCTAATCCTTCAAAAGCAGTGCTCTAAAGTGGACTTGATGTGGCCTTCGGAATTACATCTATTTCATAACCGGTACCGTCTTACAGTCATCGTCCCGGGTGTTTCCTGATTACTGTTTACTGCAAATAGTACCCAAGAAAACAATCGATTCTTACCCGATATCTACACAAACAGTCATTGCCATACTGCATTGTACGCCTACAAAAGCAAATGGTGAACATGCTGTACCATTCGCAACAACACCTTGAGCATTCTCAAGATGCATCAACATGATGCTCAAGGTCCGATTGGCTGCCAATGTCTAAAAAGGTGTCATTATCTTGCAGGATTTTCCGTTATCATTAAGGATTATCTCACTAAGATTAGCCTTTAAGTATGTAAAAAAAGTTCTCGAATGTTTTCGATATGCAGGTGTTGTTATAGGAATGGAAGAAGAATATAAACAGAATATGTTTTGCTCAAGGACATACGGAGTAAATGGTATCACAGTTTACACTGGAAGGTTATCCCCAAAGAATAAACAGAAAACTTTCCTTCACCTATACAAACTTTCTCATACAAGTTTCTTTTATTACCTATCCTATCTATTACCTACACATCCATTCTTTTCTTTTATTATTTCTTAAAAGTTTACATATTCCATTTTCAGGGTTCCATATTCATTTGGACCAGAAGGGTGATCGCCTTCTGTAATTCTTTTTCTGCAGGACTTTGTCGGCTATGACCAAGAATTCATTAAAATCTAGCTTACTAGGGGTGATATTATATTTGATGATAAATTGAGATGACCAGTTGTATCTAAAGATGGTGCCATCAGGTTTGGCCAAAAATGGATGGAATCAAATGGATTCAAGGCTTCACCTAGTTTCTATCTTTGTGCCACCTACAGGGTCCCGATGACAAGTAAGGAAGAACAAATCGTTACTGGCTAACTCTGAAAAGCCATCAGTGACATCGTCTTCATATAAATGGTGACTAGACATAGCATACTTGCATACAAATTCAAAGTCATGGTTTGAGCTTCGCTTTTGCATTTTCATGGGAACACTCCCTCTGTCATTTTCTTGGGGGAATGAAATAGAATAACAAACATGTACAGAAAAGTCTATCTGACCTCAATAATTTGGCAGGATCTGGGAAAATTTAATTCAAATTCACGGCGAATTGTTACAGGGCTTGAGAATTACTATTACTTACCGTAAAACATGTTAGAAATAGTAGTAGCAGTTGTGATACCGACATAATTACCAGACGACACCCTGAGACGTCCTGCTATGGGTGGAGGTGTTTCAGCGTCTTAGGCTGTAGTGATAACAATGAAAGTTACTGTTGGAGAACGCAGGGATTACAGTGATATCGATGGCATCGAAAGGGATTATTTCGATTAGAATTGATTGCAACTATTTGTGTACTCTCGCAGTCGATTTACCCCCACTTCGCAACAATTCTTTGAAGAATGGGAAGCCTCCACAACCTTCAACTACAACTCATTTGTCTTCTTTGGGTTTTTGTAGGATCAGGATCAGAATTGAGGACAAGGAACTCCCAAAAAAGGAATCCTCATAAGTCATATGGGTAGGGAGCGTCCCAAGGGAGTCAGTCATGAAAAATAAGCAAATCCTCTTATCACCATGATGTCTCCAAATGAAGCACTCCCTGAGCACCAGTTTTTTTTTTCGATTCTAGACTGTGACTGTTCGTTCGACAGCCAGCCATTAACCAGCCGACATAGGACCTTACATAGCGCTGCCACTGTGAAAAGCTCCCGGGAAATGGTAGTCCGGTGACAATCTTGAAGGTGGACCATGTTGAACATTTTGCACCAAAGCTTTCACACTTTTTGAAGCGAACGTTTTGGAGTAGAAAGCCGTTAGACGATAGAATCGTGAAAGCCTGCGGAAATATCGAAGTACTCCTAGAATAGGAGACCTCTATGGGTCTGGACATTTCGAAGTTGGACGAGTTTACGCCGATAAACGGACCGGACCGTTCGAGTATATTTGTAGCAGAAAAACGCGGCCTGGCTATAAGCGTGTATCAGTTCACTGCACTTCCAACAAACATTCTCCTCATAGAATAGCGTATGCCTCTACAAGGCTGCAAAACTCGTCCTTTCTGAGGAGTATAGAGCTAGGAACCGATTTCCGAGCTTTCATTGCAACTTGTATATTTACATATCTGGACCGCACTTGGTCTGTTAAACTTTTTCCTAATTCATCGAGATTCCTGTTTGGGATCAAGATCTCCATCAGCGGAACCCAATCTATGGATTGTCGGAGCAACGGCGCCTTTCGGTTTCAGAGGATGTCTTTATTATGTTAATTATGTGAAAAACAATGATTTTATACATATCCAAAAAATACATGCGCACACGTAACAAGCGTTGGAGCATCAGGATCATCGGGGTTTACAGCACAACAGCTATGCCTTGGAGATACGATTATCGACAAGTTGGGGGCGAAAACGCGTCGATAAACGAAGAAATTCACAGAATCAGACAAATTCATCAGCACTTATCAGCATAGTTTTCCTGCTGACAGCTCAACTTGACTACAACTAATGTTATTGTTGAATCTCAAACCAGGCATACATTCCTGCTGAAGGGGGTGGAGCTAGGGAGGGGTGGAGCTCCCCACGGGAACATCGCCTCTCTAGCACCAGCTTAGTGGACAATCCTAGACGAAATTGATAAAATTCACGCTAAAATTCACTTTTTTGGTCGTAAATAGTCTGAGAAGAACGTATGCCTGATTGTCTTAGCCCAGCCAAATTCAGCCAGGTGTCAATGAGTGCTGGGAGAACAACATACAGCAAACCTATGACCTATGGAGGCAACAGTCAATGAATGAATGTCCAAAACATGTATAGAGACCAGTAATGAGAATAAGAGGCTTTGTGAATGCATCAGCTGAGAAATTGCTGCCTACAATATAGAAATTCACACGAACACGGCAAAGTGCTCTA